TGCAGAATGACATGCAGACCCGAAAGATTCTGATATAATGAGCCTATAAATACACTTGTCGTTGTCAGACCTTCTTGGATTTAGTGTGGAAGAAGTAATTTAATCGTTGAAGGACAATTAATTTGGCATCTGGCCGTCGATTTGCCTTTGAGAAACAATAGTTAATGTTTATATGCGAAGTATATTAAAAATTTCCACAGAGATTATTTGATTTTTAAACTGTATGAAGCTGGTCAACTGGCATCCCTTTTTATCCATGAGGTTACTACCTGGCACAAGTTCACGTTGAAGAGTAAGGTGCAGAGCCAGGGTCCAAACCCATATTTAACTCCAAAACCCATACTCTAAAACCTACATCTTCTGATCCATCGAAATACCTAGGTATGAAATTGTGCTACTGTTCATAACAGGGTTAAAGATATTGAAGGAAAATTTTACTTTTTTATGTAAAATAGCATCCTATAAAAATAGATAAAACTCAAAAGGAAGTAAAAATAAATCACCTTAACTTCCCACTTCACAGCAATCAATAATAATCATCACATCTAACATTTGTTGAGCAATAGTATGCAGCATGCACTGATCTAAGCTTTTGATCATCATAACCTTGTAATGAGTTACTATTAGTATCTGCTTTTAACAGGTGATACTAATGGGAAACTGAGGCGCTATGAGCATAAGATAGCAGAGGGCAAAACCAAGAGAGACAAGTGTTTGTCCTGAGCCAAAAGGGCCCAAAAAGATCATGTTTAACCTAAATGATCTGAGAAATAGGTCAGAATTCCATGCCACCACAATTAACAGGAAAAACAAGACTTTACAAGTTGCACTTTCAAAATAAAATAATATAGGCTGTTGCCTCCATAACTTTGTTATGCTGTCAGAGTTGTTATTTTAAGGTAGTACCTTCACTGATGAAAGAATTAGAGACAGATTTTTTAAAAAAAATGTTTTTATTCACCTAATGTAGAAGAGGGGCATGAGACCTATATAAATTAACTAAAGTCAAACAAAGTTAAGGCAGGGGCCGGCTACGGGCTGCCTGACATGGAACTTGGCTGACCAGCGATACAAGCGGACCACAAGGAGCCTCCATAACAAAGAAAATTCCTGCAAAGATTGATTAATATCTACTCACCCATAACATAAAAGGAAAACACAAGAATAAAAAATATACCTTGTAAAGGTTAAAGTTAATCCCAACATTTTTTCCCACTCTGTTTCCCCATATCAGCAGTTTTCCACAGAAACTACAAACCAATATAAGCTCAACCTCTAGAGACAATTGGGATCTCTCTTCCTTCTCTTGTGAGCAGGGTCCGTTACTCTTTCCGAGTGGCTTTCCTTGCTTGTCTTCTCTGCTCAATAAACTTGCTTCTACTTTAACCTCTTGTCTGGCTGCTTCTTGAATACTTTCCTGCTCAAAGCAAAGAAACCTCCCGGCTAAGAATTTGACTCTCCCACAGGGACTTGCCCCACACATCACATCTAGTGGCAACAAGGAGAAATTGCAATAGAGACCCAAAAGTCACATTCTTCTAAACACGAATTTGTACACGAATTACTCAGATAATTATCCAGCTCTCTATGATATTTTTCTCTTGTAGATGGCAACTACCTAATGGAAGGAAAGCTATCTCAATACGTATGTATTTTAGGAAACTTCTTATTCTGGGCTGAGCAAATAGGCCTGTGGGTGAGAGTGAGTGCTGTCTGTACTCGCAGCTTGCTCTGCAGCAGAACGTTGGTGGACCCTCGGCTCAGCACGTGAGAAAGATAACGGGGGCTCGAGACAGTTCAAGTAAAATACTTGGTTTTGTAAAGAGTAGTCCTGGATTCTGACTCTCTCATGGCATCTAAGTTACTATTAGCATCTATAAAGTAGACTTAGAATGTCCATTTATTTGCTATCGGGTCAAATGGGAGTGGCTGAATAGTTGTTTTCAGACCATAAGACGCTACAGGCATCAGCTGGAATCTTAAAAAGTAGATCCTGATTTAGTAGGTCTGTAGCGAGCCTGAGATTCTATATTTCTAATAGGCTCCCAGGGGATACCTATGCTTCCGGGGGGGGGGGGGGTGTCACACTTGGAGTAGCAAGGGCCTAAACTCCAGAATGGAATTTTTCACCTTTTTGTTCAGAGACAAAGATGAAAAAGTTTGATCTACCCAAGGGGTGGGCATTCCTAATCTATTCACCAAACGAGTGTCTATCATGCGTTAGGACCTGAAGATCAACATTAAGGAAAGTAGATACTGCCCTGCCCTCAGGGAGTCCCCAATCTAGCCAGACAGCGATACATCAAGCAAAAAGGAACAAAACTTACACAACGGCGCCCCTGCTGGAGCCGGTACCCTTTGCCCCACGGTACCTGGGCGCCCTGATTGGCTCCCACGCCTCAGCCAATGAGGCTCCGGAGGCCGTTGTTGGAGGTAACCGCCATGCTGCCTGGTGATGGCTGGGGCTGCTGGCAGCGGAGGCCAACGTCGTGTCCTGGGGTGCTTTCTGCTTCCCTGCCCGTGGGCGCCGTGAGTATCTCTGAGGGTAGAAGCGTGACCTTTCCCCCCACATTTGGGTATCTTTCTTGCATCACCACTATAATAATAGCTAATATTTATCGAGCCTTCGCCGGGCACTGGACCGATGATCTCGTTGAATCCGCGGACTGTGAGATGGGTACTTCCTATGATTTCTGAGGAGAAGAGGCTGCCTAAGGTCATGTGGGATTACCTGCGGGAGGCTGAATTCATATCTGATGCTCTCTGTTCCCAAGTCCTGCCTCCATACTACACCTTGGAGACCAGATTTCCCTTTAGCAGGAGTCTATACATTGTGCAGGTATAATGGATGGAGGTACGAGAGCCTAGAATCCTTATGCTTATTTTTAAGTTTTTTAAAAATATATTTTACCTATTTATTTTTGGAGAGGGGGGAAGGAATGGAGAAAGAGAGGGAGAGAAATACCAACTGGTTGCCTCTCACGTGCCTCCAACCAGGGACCTGGCCCTCAACCCAGGGTACTGATTCCCAGTACCCTGACTGGGAATCAAACTGGCCTCTGTTCGGTTCACAGGCCAGCGCTCCAATCCATTGAGCCACACCAGTCAGGGCTAAGTTTTCTTTTTAAACAGAACAAGCAACATATGCAGAAATCTTTAGAGAAGGATGAGCACCCAGTTCAGGAGAGCTGCTGTCTCTTGGGATGGCTATACACAGGGGACTTCAACTGAGTCTTGTTTTATTTCGTAACCTTGAAGTGGGAACCTAGACGTTTATTATATTATATTATTCCCTTCCTTGTTTGTCTGAAATACTCACAAGTTTAAAAGGAAACCATGCACATGGAACATACATTTCAGAAGCTCAAGTGTACATAATGAAAATGAAATCTCTCCCACCCCAGATTTCTAGAGTCCCTCACTAGAAGCAGCCACTATTTTCAGGTGTGTATCTTAAATATTTTGTATAGTAGGTACTAGTGAATATGCAAGTTTGTTTTGTTTTATTTTTTTGCACGTGTATCCTATTACATACAGTCAGCACCTTACATGACTTAATTTTTAACCTCACTAAACTTTGTTTTAAAGATTTTATTATTTATTTTTAGAGAGGGGTTAGGGAGGGAGAAGGAGGGAGAGAGACATCAATGTGAGAAAGATACATCAATAGGTTGCCTTTTGCATGCTCCTAACTGGGTGGCCCAGCCCACAACCCAGGCATGTGCTGTGACTGGGAATTGAACCCGTGACCCTTTGGTTTGTAGGCTGGCACTGTATCCACTGAGCCACACCAGCCAGGGCATTAAACTTTAAAAAAAATTCACTAGACTCCGTTAGCCCTGTGATCAATATTCCTCTGAAAAATATTCCCAGGGTTGCTTCTGACATGATGAGATGTAGGCCATGGCTTCCCAGGCTGTGTATCTGCCTTTTTTCTTTCTGTACATCCTCATCTGTAGGACCCCCAAATTTTTCTCCCAATTAACCCTCTAAAGGGTGCAGGAGAAAAAGAATCATGACAAGTAAAGGATTGCTGGGAACTGCTTTATTGTTTCCCAAACATTTTAACTCATATTCTCCAGGTAAAATTCCACAGACACCACTATTGCTTGAAATTAACTTATTGTAGTGGAATATTGGCAAAGCGGGAGAAGTTGGGATTCATTTTCTCAGGTTTCGGGAAAATGCCCAGCTTCTTTCTAGTGAAGTAAAGGGGAGAGAAGCTTGTATGACTCTGGTTAGCAAAAGCATCTGTCACACTTAAACCTTATCTTTCTAAAAGCACAAGATATTTTTGCCTTCTAAAAAATTCTCCCAGTCAAAATCCTTGCATGGGAAAGCTGGGACTCTAACCTAGGCACAGTTAACTTCAAAAGTCCTGCCAGACAAGAGAGGTTCCCTGGAGTGAAACCTCTTTTGCGCCTTTCATCCACCTCTTACCAACCTCTTCTTCCCTGGCTCTCATCCATCCCCACGGAAGGTCTATGTCTGTTCAGCTCCACAAACACTCTTGCTCTTTCCTGTCTCCGATCCTCTGTCTGGAACCCATTTCCCTAGCACCTTCCTTGAGTATTTTTCAAGGTGAAATTCCTCTAAGTGGTGTTGCCACATAGTCTGTAGGACAACTTTTTAACCAAACGGTGTTTGAGGGGGCTGATTCCCAACACCCTGGCCAACACCTGAGCATTTGAAATTACCCACCTGAAGAGTGAGAAAAAAGATCTGCTTGTTTCAATATGCATTTTGATGACTATCTGTAATGGTTTTGTGTTTCGTTATCTTCAGTCTGTGTGAACTGCTTCTATCCCACTGCCTTGGGCGGGATTATGGTTTTGCTCTGCGGTTGGAGGCCAGTTGACAAGAGCTTAGGCGCTTTAAGATAACTACTTAAGTCTGCGGTTCTGGAAATTACATTAGAAAGCGTGAACCAGGCAAGGGTGAGGGTATCTGAAAGCGACAGAAGGCGCAGCCCCAAGGGGTCCAAGGCCGACGCGGACTCTGACGTCACTGCGGCGCGCCGTTTCCGGTCCCCGGCGCCGGAGCGAATGACTTACCCCTCCGTGGGGCCGGACCCGGGCTCACCGCGACCCCCGGGAGCCCACGATCGCGCGGCGCCAGCCGGCGAGTACATCAGCACCAGCATCCCACCCGCCCCCGGGACCATGGCCACTGACTCGTGGGCCCTGGCAGTGGATGAGCAGGAAGCGGCGGCCGAGTCGGTGAGTTGGTTTCAGCCGTAAAAGGCTCAGAGGGTCAGTTTTGGCCCTGAATCAGATCCCTGGGAATGAACACTCCCTGCGTCTGTCCGGATCGGTTGGGATGCGGGCGGCGATGGAGCCTGGACCCTGAGGCTGGCTTTGTTGACTCACTCACCTCCCGTGTTACGTAAGCGCAGGTGAGGGTTCCCATCTACGAAGAGCTCGGCCACCTGCCTGTTCCTGGAACCCGGTTTGATCGTAGATTGCACTCATGTACCCTGGTGTGTACCCACTTTTGTAGGTGTCATTTTTCCACTCTCCGATTTTGAGCTTCTTGGGCTTGAGGACCATGGGTTACTCATATCTGTGTGCTTCCTCAGCTTCCTTAAATGATGATGAATGAGCTACTCAATAGGCCTGGCAGTCAGTAAATCCTCTCCTGACCTGCTTTAACTTTGCTCTGGGCCTGACACCCAAGATATGTGCTAAACATTACTATGTATAGAATTAATTTCTCTCACCTAAACACTCTTTAAGTTTTGATACTGCTTTGAAATTGCTTCTGTTGGTACTTATTTCTGTGAATTCGAGAACAGGGGTTTTGTCTTATTTTTTATAGCTGATAAAGAAGTAATAACAAATAGTTCAGAGTCAGTTTTTAACACTGGTTCCCACCACGACCAATTTTTTCCTCCCCAGAGATTCTTTCTCTTGAAACTGATTTAGCCCTGGCTGATGTGGCTCAGTGGATTGAGTGCTGGCCTGAGAACCAAAGGTCAGGACACGTGACTGGGTTGTGGGCCAGGTCCCCCGCTGGGGGTGTGCAGGAGACAACCTATAGATGTGTATTAATGTTTCTCTCCCTCTCTTTCTCTGTCACTCCCCTCTCTCTAAAAAATAAATAAATAAAAATAAAAAAGACCCTGGCTGGTGTGGCTCAGTGGATTGAGTGCTGGCCTGCTAACCAAAGGGTTCCAGGTTGGTTTCCTAGCCAGGACATATTCCTTGGGCTGCAGACCAGGTCCCCAGTAGGGGGCGCGCAAGAGGCAACCACACATTGATGTTTCTCTCCCTCTGTTCCTCCCTCCCTTCCCCTCTCTCTAAAAATAAATAAAATCTTTAAAAAAAAATCTGACTTACCATATTGACCTCCTTATTCCCTAAATAACATGCTTGTTTTGCTACTTCTTGAATTTGCAGTTTTAAGTATTTATTGATTTTGACTCTTTCCTCCATTCTCCTTTCCTCGCCACACATGTACACCTTGTTATTCCCTACCTTTTCATTGTTACGTTGTGACTTTTAGTTAGTTCATCAGCATTTCAAGTTTATATTATTAGTAACATGAACAGTTTTACTTTCTTATAAAACTTTATTTTTCCTTGGAGTTTATAATTGCCTTATGTTTTTGCTTTATAGTGTTTGTACTTCGATTCAACCCCAAGTTCTTTGCTAGTTGTCTGAGTTTATCTCAGGATATGCAGGCACATCAAGTATTCCATCAATTCCATTTTTCCCAGGTCTTTCGCTAGACTAGTCCCCCCATGTTTAGAGCACTACTGGGGATCCTGTCCTTTCTGTGTCTCCACTCTCCATCTTTCTCGATTTCGTGGAGCAATCCATCAACTTTTGGGAAGTATATGGGAAGTAAATTTTTAAAACTGCATTTCCAAAAATATATTATTTTGCCCTATCATTTGACTGACACTATGGCTAGATATAGAATTGGGGTTGGAAATTATTTTCCTGCTCAATTTTAAAGGCATTTTTTTGCTCTTGCCTTTTAGATTTCTATTATTTGTTGTTGAGATGTGACAAACATCTGACTCATTCCTGATGTGACCTGTTTTTCCCTTTCTGAGCTTGGAGAGTTTATCTCCAGTATTAGTCTTGGTATGGGTCTATTTTTATCCACTTTACTGGGCACAGGGTGGGTCCCTTTCAATTTGGCAAATTCTTGTCCTTCGGTTATGGAAAATATTCTTGAAAATTTTCATTGTTGATTTCTCCCCTTTGTTTTTTCTTTATTCCCTTTTTTAAAAATTCTTTGTTGTTGAATGGTGGATCTCTTGGACTGGCCCTCTGCTTTTTCTTAAGTCAAGTTTATTGAGGTATAATTTATATATGATAAAACTTACCCTTATTCTGTGAATTTTGACAAAGGTATCCAGTTGTATAATCACCACCAGAGTCAAAATATGTAACATTTCCATCACTTCCCAACAGTTCCCTCAAACTTTTTACATTTAGTCCCTTTTCCCTGTCCTTCTCCGGTAACTACTCATCTGTTTTCTGTCACTATAGTTTTTCCTTTTCCAAACATCGTATAAATGGAATCATACAATATGTGACCTTTTGAAAAATCTGGCTTCTTTCACTTAGCACAATGCATTTGAGACTCAGCCATGTTGTTATATGTATCAGTATTTTGTTCCTTTTTATTGCTGTATAATATTCCATTGTATGAATGTACCAGAGTTTACTTATTCTTCTATAGATGGACATTTGGGTGTTTTCCAGGTTTTGGCAATTATGAACAAAGCTACTGTCTGCACTAGGATACAGATGATTGTATGGACTTAAGCTTACATGTCTCATGGATAAACACCTAATAATGGGATTTGTTGGGTTATGTGTTAAAAGTATTTTTAACTTTGTAAATTAGTACATGCCAAACTGTTTTCCAAAGTGGCTGTACCATTTTGCATTCTCATCAGTGATGAACTGGAACTGGAGTTGCTCCACACCCTCACCAGCACAGCATAGCCAGTTTTTTCTCTATTTTAATAGGTGCGTTGTGGTATCTCACTGTGATTGCAATTTAAATTTTTCCTAATGATGTTTAGAATATTTTCATGTGCTTATCTGCCATTCATTTGTCCATTTTAAAAATCAGATTGTTTTATTATTACTGAGTTGGGAGAGTTCTTTATATATTCTGGATATAAGTCCTTTAATAGGTTTGTATTTTGCATATACAGTAGTTCCCTCTTATCTGAGGGGACTACTTACTAAGACCCCCAGTGTATGCCTGAAACCACAGATGGTATCAAACCTATATATACTGTTTTTTCCAATACATACATACTTATGACAAAGTTTAATTTATAAGTTAGGCACAGTAAGAGATTAGCAACAACTAATAATAAAGTAGAACAATTCTAACACTAATTATAAGAAAAGTTATGTGAATATCTCTCTCTCAAAATATCTTACCATGCTGTGTATACACACTGGACAAAGGGATGTTTCAAGGGACAGAGCGGGATGTTACAAGATTTCATCATGCTACTCAGAATGGCACAGTGTAAAACTTAGAATTTGTTTATTTCTGTAACTTTCCATTTAATATGGTCAGACCACAGTTGACCGTGGGTAAGTGAATTCATGGAAAGCAAAACTGTGGATAAGGAGGTCTACCATATATTCTTCCAGAATGCAACTTGCCCTTTTATTTTCTTAACAGTACTTTTCAAAGAGCAGACATTTTCAATTTTGATTCAGTCTAACTTGTCAATTTTGTAATGACTAGTCCTTTTTGTGTTCTAAGAAGTATACCTTGCCCGAGGCCACAAAGCTTTTGACCTGTTTTTTTTTTCCTACTAAAGATTTAGAGATTTAAATTTTACATTTATGCCTATGATCCACTTGAATTAATTTTTCTTATGTAGTAGGAAGTGTGGATCAAGGTTCATTTTTTTCGCATACATGTTCCAGTGTCATTTGTTGAAGAGAGTTCTTTATCTTTTTTCTTCTATTTTCCATCTTTGTCTTTTTTTGCCATATTTCCTGGAAGATTTTTCTCAACTGCTTTCTGACCTATTTTGTGTTTCATTTCTATCACATTTTTAATTACAAGAGCTGACTTTCTCCCCCTTACTCTTCCTTTTTTTTTTTTTTAATCCTTACCCAAGGACATGCTTATTGATTTTAGAGAGAGGGGAAGGGAGGGAGAGAGACAGAGGAACGTCAGTGTGAGAGAGAAATCCCAATTGGCTGCCTCTTGTATATGCCCCAGATGGGACCGAACCCGCAACCTGCAACCTAGGCATGTGCTGATCAGAACTGAACCCAGGACCTTTTGGTTTATGGGATGATGCTCCTATCAGCTGAGCCACAACAGTCGGGGCAGCATTCCTTTTTATAAACAGTATCTTGTGCTGCTTTCATGGCCATAATATCCTCTCATAATTTTGAGGATATTAATATTAGTTTTCCTTAGGTGCTTTTATCTATTTGTTTCATTATTTTTTTTTCACGATAGAGACTTCTCAGATGTCTAATTCTTATCTACTAATATTTAAGAGTGGGTGTCTAAAAAAGAGGTGAACGTTCTAAATACATGAGTGGGCCTTACCAATCCTGACCTCTATCTCTTTAGTGTCTTCAGAACATTCTTGCTGGCTGGCAGAGAGGGGTCCTCAGATTCCCTGCGGGGAGGGGAGGGGTCTGAGTCAGTGTCAGGGACAGGAGTGGGAGGGGCAGGAGGTCCCAGGACCCCGTGTACCTGGTTTCACTCAGTGCTCCCGTTTTCATCATGGCACCCACTTCCTCCACTGCGGCCCTCACCTTATTCATCGCAGTGTTTCTCGTGCCCTGCCTAGCAGGCACTGTTGAGTAAATGAGCTGTATAGTCTGTTTTTCCATTACCTGGCTCTGTCAGAAACTTTTGGGCATGTGTTCTGAATATATACATCTCTATTTAGAAATTGTATAGTATACTCTTATGCTAAATATATTATATACATTATAAAACACACAAAAGTAATAAAAGCTGAAATAAAGATAAAATAAACAATGTTTTAAAATGTTTTCCTGTGCTTCCTTTTGCTGGCTTTATACTTTAATATCTCAAGGTACAATATACGCTTTGGAAAAAACCTTAATAGCTACTGTAAATATGAATATATATTTCAAATAGTTTTTATAGTTTTGAATTTTTTTCACTAACTTTGTGTTAGGTCAGATTAGATTGTCATTCTCTTAACTCATTAATATGCCTAAAAGAGTTTGTTAGGAGTTGGTAGCTTTGACATTTTTTTATTTGCTTGAGTTTGCATTGTTGGAATTATTTTTAAGATAGAACGGAAACTCCTAATCCACCCTGTGATAATGAACATCCAGATGTAATAAGATTAGCTCCTGTCATTTTTGGCAGATCTGCACTAGCCATTGCGTCTACCTTACAACAACAAAACCCTGAATTTTACAAAACTGAATCTCAGCACCCTATTTTTAAAGTATTATGGTAGGATTTTACCCTGTTAATCTTTTTTTTTTAATAGAAGCTTTATTGAGGTATTTACATATCATATATTTTATCCACTTAAACACACAGTTCTCTGGTTTTTATTATATCCACAGACTTGTGCAGCCATTACCACAATTGTAGACCTTTTCATCGCCCCAGAAAGAGACTCTGCATGCCTTTGAGGTCACTCCCTATCTCCCTCCAGCCTCTCAGCCCTACACAACCAGTCATCTACTTTCCGTCTGTTTAGGTTTGCCTCTTCTGGACATGTCATATAAATGGAGTCATACAGTACATTTGTGGTCTTTCGTATCTAGCTTCTTTCACTTAGCATAATGCTGTCAAGGTTTACCCATGTTGCAGTGGGTATTCACTATTCATTCCTTTTTATTGTCAAATAATATTCCAGTGTATGGATATACCATATTTGTTTTTCCACTCATCATATCCACTGATGGTCATTTGTATTCTTTCTACCTTTTGGCTATTATGAATAATATTGCTATGATCATTTCATGCACAGGTTTTTGTGTGACCATATAGTATTTTCAATTCTCTTGGGTATATATATCTAGATGTGGCATTGCTGGGTCATAAAGTAACTGTGTGTTAAACTTTTAAGGAACTGCCAGACTGTTTTCCAAAGCAGCTACACCATTGTATCATTCTTAGATTATTATTTTCTTTGAGGTTACTATTATCTTTGAAATATACTTTTATGCAGAGATTAAGACCTCAAACTTTGTATCTAAACACACTTGGATTGGTATTCTGGGTCCCTCACTTACTAGTTATATGTCCTTGAGCAAACTGCTTAACTTTTCTGTGCCTCAGTTTCCACATCCATAAGATGGGGGTAATCATAGTACCTACATCATTCAGTTATAGACACGCCTGATATAAGGGCTGTATAAGTGATAGCTATTATTATTAACTGTAATTCACAGTTTCTTTGCAGGAATCTTAAATTATTTGTACTTTATGGATTAGTGAGTTGATACTCAATAAGATTTATGAATCTGCTAACCATTCACAGGTAAATTAAAATAGATCACAATACTCTAAAACTGAACAAATGAGTGAAAACACCCCTGCTACCCTCTGCCTTTATGGAACCCTCACTGAGGACCCGCACAGGCATTGCATGACATAGGGGACTGGGACATACACAGTGCTGGGTTACTGTTAAATATTCATTAAGCTTCATTTCTTTGATGAGTAAGACTCCCACTTCACCATTCTGCCTACAGCCCTAATCACTGTAGTTCATTTATCATGAAATCTTCCTTTTTACTCTCAAGAATCTCAGGTAGTTTTAGAATAAAATACAATGTGTAACTATAGTTTTCAATTATCTTAATGTATCTTAAAAACTAAAGTATTAAAGGCATTGAAAAATGTGGATAGTAAAGGGTGGGTGTTTTTGCCTTTTTTCCTTTTGGTTAATTATCTGAATTTTAAAATAGTTTCCAATGAAGATGCAAGTGAAACTGGTTTTTCATTTTTGGTCCAAATAAATAAAGCAGAGCAAGGTATCTGAACTAATTGCTTTCAACGTAAGTTTCAGTGTTTGGTCCACTCACACTGCAATGGATAATACAAACTTTACTTTCCTGTGGCTTTTGCCTTACAGGTTTTGTGATCTTATAGCCAAATGAAGGATGAGTTTGTTTTATAGATTCTGCTAGAACCTCTCAGAATTCTGATACACTGTATTAAAACAACATCTACTTGTTTCATTTTACATTGTTGCTATCAACTTTTCCTACACATTGTATTTTAGTTATGTAACTATTTACTCTTAACTTCAATTTGAACGATATCAACAAAAGAATGGTTTGTTTTCTTGCCATTGAATATTAAAATGCTTTACAATAATGGATATTTCTAACTGTTTTATACACCATTAACTTATTTAGACCTCAGCCCTAATAAATTATTAAGCAGCATTTATCACCCTATGAGTGAGTTCTATTAACCTTACTCTCGTGAATATTACCAGTAAGTCAGTCCGTCTGTCTCTTTTGTAACAGCTCTGACTACTACTGGACTTAAACTAGGTTCATGGGCAGGATGTGGAGGAGGAGCGCTTTGGTGAAGACTAAACAATATTGAACACCACTTACACACCATGCACTGTGCTGGTTGCTTCATATTCATTATCTGTTAGGGTGCTATCTATTCTTCAGAATTAATGAAGATTTTTACTGCTTTCTGATGGGATTTTTTTTGCCATTTTCCTTTTTTTTTTTGCCAGTCTTGCCAGTGTGCTCTCCCCTTCCCCCAAACACCAAAGCAGAGACACCAGAAACACCCTTTTCAGTTTCTGTAAGTAGAAGTTCCACCATTCCTAATTAACCACCCATTAAAACAAACACTTGTCCTGACTAGTGTAGCTCAATTGGCTGGGAGTCATCCCACAAAGTGGAAGGTCACGGGTTTGATTCCTGGTCAGGGCATATGCCTGGGTTGCAGGTTCAGTCCCTGGTTGGGGCATATATGATAGGCAACCAATTGATATGCCTCTCCTACTCTTTCTCTCTCCATTCCTCCTTAATAAATAAATAAATAAAATTTTAAAAAAGACAACTTTTTAATTCCTCTCTCATTTTTCTCCCTTGTTGAACTTAGAGAAAAGATAGAAATGAACCTCAAGCTGTAAAGAACCTGTGTGGGTGGTGTTTTAAGAAATACCCCTGCCCTGGTTAGTGTGACTCAATGGATTGAGCATGGGCCTGTGAACCAAAGGGTCGCCAGTTCAATCCCCAGTCAGGGCACATGCCTGGGTTGCAGGCCAGGTCCCCCCACACCTGGCAGGGGATGCATGAGAGGCAACCACACATTGATGTTTCTCTCCCTCTCTTTCGCCCTCCCTTCCCCTCTCTAAAAATAAATAAATACAATCTTTTTTTAAAGAAATACCCATTTTTGTGACTTTTACCCTGCACTGAATTGTCATTGGCACCACTTATTATGTTAAAGATTATAGCACCTGCTTTATGCTATATCCAAAGAGCAATTAAAAATAAAAATGTCCCCTGTCTTTAAGGTATATTCTTTTTTGTGTCAGCTTTATTGAGGTATGATTGAGAACTAAAAGAGTATTTTCATTCTACTAGGGGAGGTAAGTCCTGGCAGGATATCTTTAATTTACAGTGTTTGATCCAAATCTTTGATAATTATTTCTTTGAAATATCTCTTCACTCTGTCCCTTCCTACTTATTCCCACTTCAGCCTGATGGGTATTTTGATTGCACAGTGTGCCATGATCCTCCAAGCAGTTCCTCGTTTAAAATACCAGATCTCCAGCACAAGGCGGCCTCAGCGTGAGTGAGGCTGCACATCTGTGCTGTGGTCCTGTGGCTCGCACGGATCCTGCAACACCCCACTCAGACACCTTTTCCACGATCTTTTTAAACTTCCTCTTATTTGAGAGCATGTTTGAGGGCAACTCAAATGATATTCTATTGAGAGGTCTTTGTATCAGAGAATTAACCAAACTCATAAATTGTAATCCTCTCTAGGGGTTGGAATTAGGGGTTACAAAAAGAGCCCAGCAGAACAATCTAATGGATGGGTTTTGAGAGTGGCTCATGTCTCCCCAGCATCACTGGGGAAGCTCTGTTGATTCAAAATCTTTTAAGTTATTTTTCTGACACTCTCCCTCCCTCCCGTATTCTCCATTTAGTTGAGCAACTTGCATCTTAAGGAAGAGAAAATCAAACCAGATGCCAATGGTGAGTAACTAAAAACTAGTTTGAAAACAAATGTGATTTATATCAGTATTTCTTTTGACATAACTGTCTGGAAAAACATTATATATGGAACCAGACAGGCTGGCAGATGTTAGCAGTTATTTGACTTGGAAAACACTAAACTGGACTGCTTTGTTTTAATCGTGAGTAATATAAGCGTGAGGTTGGCTAATTGACTCTTACATATTATTAAATGTATTACTAACCATGAGACTATGGAGCCAAAGATTATTTCTTGTTTTACAAATATTCCTGAGTTTGAGATGAACTAGACAAAGTATGAGTAACCTGAGAGTTAACCTATTGTAATTATTCTGAAATCATGTACCAAAAATCTAAGATGTCTCTTGAATTTTTGTTGATGTATTTAATAATATAGGGAGGAAATTATAACATTTACCTCACTGAATTCACTTATAATTTGTATTTTGTATATTTTTACATAACAATATTTTTTGAATATACATTTCTATTAATTATATACATAGACTCTTAATGACAGTATTGTATTCATATATTGATGAAATTTGATTTGCACAGGTATTCCTCTGTTGAGCATTAAGGTGATTTATGATCATTGATTTCTGTAATCATCTTTATATAACATTTCATAAATATTAATGCTATGAGGGAAATAAACATTTTGAAGTACGGTAAGAGGACACAGAATAGGAAAGTATTAAAATATAAGCTATATTGTGTCATACCTTTATTTATTTAGGAACAATAATATGTTTTTATCTATGGCTTGGCTTCCTCATTGTTTGTTTTTTTTTTTGCTTCTTAGGCATTTACATTTCTAGTGTTGTAGAATTTGAATTGTCTCAGCTGTTGGGTATGGGATTTGATTTTGAATGACAGCCACTTTGTGTCTGATAAAGGTGCTGTTGTCAAGACCAATGCTAATGCAGAGAAGACAGATGAAGAAGAGAAAGGTAACACAGCCTGAGAGCTATATTACCAAGGTTCTACAGTCTAGAGACTGGATTTTTAAAAAGATTTTATTTTCAGAGAGGGGGAGGGGAAGGGAAAAAGGGAGAGAAACATCAATGCACGAGAGAAACATCAGTTGGTTGCCTCTCACATCCCCCAACCAGGGACCTAGCCCACAACCCAGGCATGTGCCCAGACTGGGAATTGAACCGTTGACCCTTTGGTTCGGAGGCTGGCACTCAATCCACTGAGCCACACCAGCCAGGGCTGAGAATGGATTTTTAAAAGGCTTCATTTTTACACGTAACTTGGCTTGACTTTAATGGGAATCACAGTGCTAATAAAAGCTCAATGTAGTCATTGGTGAAGGAATTCTAATTGTTTACATTTTAAAGAAATTTTACTTTGAACAACTGATGAACTTCAGCAGCAGCAGGAAATGTTCCCTGAATGATTATTTTTTTACAGGGCATTATAAAAGAAATTGTAAGTTGCATCCCCATTGTCTAATAAATTAAACTTAATGATATTTTGTTATACTTAACATGGGTAACAAGATGCAAACAGCTTATATGACACAAGACAGACTTAATTTCTGTGTGTTTTTTCATTGTGATATTTTTATTAGGTTAATCATTTTAAGTTTATATTAAGTCCAAATTGGTGAGTAAATATTTGGGTCTAGAGGAATAAATAATCTCAGGAAAGGACAGTTATTAGGAATAGAGTTCTAAAGAAGAATATGAGACCCAAATGGATATATGAGTATCATAACCTTTCTCTTTTTTTAAGATTTTATTTAATTATTTTTATAGAGAGAGGAGGAGAGAGAGAAAGGGAGGGGCAGAGAAACATCAATGTGTGTGAAAGATACCTCTATTGGTTGCCTCTCACATGCCCCCTACTGGAGATGTAGTCTGCAACCCAGGCATGTACCCAGGGAATCAAACCAGCAACCTTTTGCTTTGCAGGCCGGCGCTTAACCACTAAGCCACAGCAGCTAGGGCCATAACTTTCTCTTTAATAAACAAATTAATTATATTTATAAATCAAAACTATGATATACCTTGAATTAGAAGTCCTAGTACAAATGCTACTGCTTAAAATACCAATGGCAATTAAATTTAGACGAGCATATGGTGGATTTCATAGATTTTAAAAATTCTTTGCTCTCTTTCCTGCTGACAGAGGACAGAGCTGCGCAGTCCTTACTCAACAAGCTGATCAGAAACAACCTGGTCGATAACAGAAACCAAGTGGAAGTCCTGCAGCGGGACCCAAACTCCCCCCTCTACTCAGTGAAGTCCTTCGAGGAGCTCCGGCTGTGAGTGTTTGTTTGCTCTCTTACTCTCTCTCCCCTTTGTGTTCAGATAGAAATCCTAGGCCTGTTATATATATTTTTCATCACAATAGAATATTTTGAGCTATCACAGGTTTAATCTTTTTTAAAAATTTAGCTGCTTTGAGCAATTAAGTAAAATTTGCAGGTAATCTATAGAAATTTATCTGCACTTAACCACTGGGCTCAGTTCAGCACAGTTTGAGTATTGTTAGTTATAAGTTGTGGGTAACAGCAATTAAAAAGAGGAAACAACCCCCAGATATTTGGTTTCTTTCCTCAACCAAAGAGATTGACTTGCATTATTAACGGCTTTCCTAGGAAGCCGCAGCTTCTTCAGGGAGTCTACGCCATGGGCTTCAACCGTCCATCCAAGATACAAGAGAACGCATTGCCTTTGATGCTTGCTGAGCCGTATGTATCCTGACATGACCCTATCTCATCTATAATTTTCTACTTTTGAAAACTTATTATTTAAAAAACTAAAAAAACTATACTAGTAATACATGTTCATTTTAGAAAAACATGTTAAAAAATGAAAAATAAGAAAAAAAATCATTTGTAATTTCCCTCCACCACATACTATTAATACTTGGAATAGAGCCTTCTAGACTCTTTTCTATATAGACTTACATATGTGTGTATACAGAAAAAATGTATTTTTATCTTTTTAAAAAAATTTTTATTTATTTAGTTTTAGAGAGAGGAGAAGGGAGGGAGAAAGAGAGGGAAACTCAACATGTGGTTGCCTCTTGTGCACCCCCTACTGAGGACTTGGCCTGCAACCCAGGCATGTGCCCTGACTGGGAATTGAACCGGTGACCCTTTGGTTTGCAGGTCAGCACTCAATCCACTGAGCCACATCAGCCAGGGCTATAATATATATTTTTAAATGGATAAAAATTTTTATATGCTTTTGAAAATTTTATAAGATCATCTTTCTGTGTTGGTAAATATACATTTATATAATTCATATACACCATAATTTTATTACATGGATAGTAAATTTATTGTGTCAGGCCTAGCTAGTGTGGCTGAGTTGGTCGGAGCATTGTCCTGTAAACCGAGAGGTCTTGGGTTCAATCCCTGGTCGAGGAACGTGCGGGAAAAGGCAAGGCAACTGATCAATGTTTCTCTCTCATATTGATGTTTTTCTCTCTCTCTCACTTTCTCTCTCTCTCTAAAAATCAGTAAGCATATCCTTGGGTGAGGATTTAGTAAAATTAAAAAAAAAAAAAAAAAAAGGAATACGTAAAAGCAAACTGCTCTAGGAGACCAAATAGTACAATTACTAAGGTTTTCTCGTGTAGTGCTTCTCACACTTTCATAGCATATGACTCTCCTAGGAATTAATTAAAATGCAAAATCTCATATCAGTAGATTTGAGGTGGGGATGGAGGTTCACCATTACTAATAAGCTTCCAGGTGTCATTTTTAATTTTTTTTAATTGATTTGAGAGAGAGAGACATCAATTTGTTCTTCAACTTATTTCTGCATTCATTGGTTGCTTCTTGTATGTGCCCTGACTGGGGATCAAACCCACAATCTTGGTGTATCAGGGACAGTACTCTAACCAACTGAGCTACCTGGCCAAGAACACTGATAGCAGTTTTATTATGAAATTTTTCTAACATACAACAAAGTTGAAAGGATTTTATAGTGAATACCCATATACCCAGCACCTAGAGTTTACCAATAACATTTTACTACTATAATTCATTATATACCTCTCTACCAACATGTCTTGTTTGTTAAGGTACTTTACAATAGGTTGCAATTTTAAATCAGTGCATAGGGTAGGATCTCATCGAGTAGGCAATGCAAAGACTTGAAGGAGAAGAGATCTGAGCCAAAAGACTTGAAGGAGAGGAGAGAGTTGACGTGTTGTCATCAGAAGACTACTGTCGTGGGCAGAGTATAGCTGATGCAGAAGCCCTAAGACAGGAGCATGGCTGGCATATTTTCAGAGCAGCACTGGGGCCATTGTGGTGGGGGGGAGTACGGCAGGGGGTACTAGGAGATGAGAGCAGAGAGGTAATGGGGAGCCAGATCAGGGTAGGACGTTGAAGGGTGAGAAGGACCAAAGTTTTGCCATCTCAAATATGCCCTTTAGAGTATTAATTTTAAGCGGATCATTAAGAAACAAAAGACTCAGAGCCCTGGCTGGTGTGGCTTGGAGGACTGGATGCCAGTCCAACTGAAAGGTCACCAGTTCGACTCCCAGTCAGGGCACATGCCTGGGTTGCAAGCCAAGTCCCTGCTTGATGGGCGGGGGCGGTGAGGGTATGTGAGAGGCGGCTAATTGACGTATCTCTTGCACATTGAGGTTTCTCTCCCTCTTTCTGCTCCCTTCCCCTCTCTCTAAAAAAATTAATAAAATCTTTTTAAAAAGATAAAAGAGACAAAGATGCAGAAAGAACCTTTGACTCTCCCCCCTTACTAGCCTGAAGGATTTGAAATAGAAAAACCTGCTTAAAGGAAGGATACACCACAGCTTCAGAATATAAACTAGATGTGGCGGACAGGGAGAAGCTTTAGCAAAGCCTGTTCTGTTGAACTTCCTCCTGTGTCCCATTGTTTCTGGGCAGGGCAGCCAGAATGTTTATCATGTTTGCTGTTTCTCATCGTTCTATAAACTGCCTACTTTTCCTTTGAAATCCCAGACCCTTTCTCCACTTCCTTTGTTTAAAATGGCATGTAAACCTCAACTGCCCAATGCATCTTCAGGTCCCATTTCTTATGACACCCCCAAATATACATCCATAAATCCATTTTGGACATAATTCTATTAACTGTAATCTGCCTCATATTAACTTGATTATCAGCCCAGCTAGAAGAACTTAGAAGGTGGAAGGACAATTATTTTCTTTGCCCCCACAAGGGTATTATAAGGATTTCACCTTTACTGAATGAAATCGGGACTGATTGGAAGGTTTATGAGCAGAGAACTGATGTGAGCTGACTCACATTTTAAAAGAATTACTGGCTGCTGTCTCAAGGCTAGATAAAAGATAATACTTCAAATTCCACCATAAAATCTTCTCTCTATAGTGCTCTATATTTTTGAAGCTAGAACATGTAACTCTGCTACAGAATGCAATTAATTTTGATTACTCACTTCTTTTTTCTCTTTTGTTAAAGATTTTATGTACTTAATTTTAGAGTGGGGAAGGGGGGAAGAAAGAGAGGGACAGAAACATCAATGTGCAAGATCAGCTGCTTCTCACATGGGGACCTTTTGGTTTGCAGGCTGGTACTCAATACTGAGCCACACCAGCCACGGTTGATTATTCATTGTTTAATAAAGCTTTATTCCTTAAAAAAAATCTTTACTATATTTTTTCCATTACCATTTTGTCCCCTTATACCTGCCCCCCCCATATTCTTTATTTAAAAATATATATGTTTTGTGTGGTTTTTTTAGATTCATTTATTTATTTTTAGAGTGAGTGGAAGGGAAGGAGAAAGACAGTAAGAGAAACATCAATGTGCGGTTGCCTCTTACATACCCCCAACTAGGGACCTGGCCTGCAACCCAGGCATGTGCCTTGACTGAGAATCGAACCAGCGACCCTTTGGTTCACAGGCCAGCACTCAGTCCACTGAGCTACACCAGCCAGGCTCAGTATTCTTCATTTTTATTAACTGAAAGGATAGTTGAGACTTAAGCTCCTAAACAGTTTGTTTTCTTGTGCAGCCCACAGAACTTAATTGCCCAGTCTCAATCTGGTACTGGTAAAACAGCTGCCTTTGTGTTGGCCATGCTCAGCCATGTAGAAGCTGCAAACAGATACCCACAGGTAAGGGCTTGGTGAATTTGGGTTTTCTGCTAACACACAGCTAGAAGAAAAAGGCCATTTGATGGATTAAAAGCCATGTCTTGTATTACTTTTTACATAAACTAAAGCCCCTTAAGTTGGGCACAAACAACATAGTTGATCTAGTAACAACAAAAATCCTGTTACCTTCTGTAGTTTGCCAGTTCTGGGATACTGCTGGTATGCTTGGCTCCTTTACTTACAGGAAAAACCTCTTTCAACTACAACTATTCATTCATTAGAAAGTTGAGAACCTTCTGAGAAAGTGAAAAGGAAGCTAGTCTCCAATTTAAATACCAGATCCTTACTCACTTGTAGGTTTTGGTACTCCACTGGCCGATAACTGTTTTCAAGTGTTTTTACCCAGCCAGAGTTCTGACCCCTGAGAATTCTAACGTGTGACTTTGCAGTTTAAAGAATCAAATAGTGTACACTTTATATATTCTTTCCTTTAGCCTTAGCTGGAAGACTAACTAAATCCCGATGGTAATTCCCCATTGCAAAAGAGCTATTGTCTTGAATTCTCACTCTGCACTCTTCCTGCCAGTGTCTGTGCCTCTCCCCAACGTATGAGCTTGCCCTCCAAACGGGAAAAGTAATTGAGCAGATGGGCAAATTTTACCCTGAACTGAAGCTAGCTTATGCTGTTCGAGGCAATAAATGTGAGTATGAATATGTGATCCTAATTCATTAAGCTAATAACTTCTATTTACTTTGAAAAATTTTATGCAGTGGTTGAAATGGTACAATGAACACATGTGCTCTCCACCTAGATTTGAAAACTTAACATTTTGCCATGTTCCTTTACATATATATAGAGAGAGAGAGAGAGAGAAGAGAGAGAGAGAGAGGGAGAGGGAGAGAGAGAGAGATTAAGATTTCTGATGAGCCATTTGAAAGTAAATTGTAAACATTGTGACTTTTTATTCCTAATACTTTAGTGTGCATTTCAAGATGAGGACATTCTTCAGCATACCCACAATACCCTTACCACAACCAAGAAAACTAACAGATTCTCTAATAACTAACACTAGTCATTTTCATTTTTCCCCAATTATCCACAACGTGTTTTTTTTTTTTTAATTTTTTTTATTTTAATCATTGTTCAAGTACAGTTTTCTTACAAAGTGTTTCTTTATGGCTCTTTTTTTTTTTAACCACAATTGAGTCAATGTAGCACTGCATTTATTTGGTTATTCTATCTCCTTGAATTTCTTTCAATCTAGGATAGTCAGTCCCCTCACATCCCCTCCACTATTACATTTGGCTTTTTGAATACAACTTTTTGCTCATAAAATGTTTCAAATTCTGGATTTATTTAATTGCCTAATTTCTTTTTAATGTCATTAGAACAAAAATGTTCTAGAATGTTCATGGCAATTAACTCTGGGAGCTTATTTTTATTCTTTTTTGTTTTTTGATTTTTTTATGTATTGACTTTAGAGAGAGAGAGACAGGGGAAGGGGATGAGAGAAAGAGAAATATCGATTTGTTGTTCCACTTATGCATTCATTGGTTGCTTTTTTTTTTTTAACAATGTGAGTATATTTATTTATTTATTTGCTTGTTTGTTTTTAAGGTTTTATTTATTTATTTTTGGAGAGAGGGAAGGGGAGAGAAAAAGAGAAGGAGAGAAACATTAATGTGTGGTTGCCTTCTGCATGCCCCTGACCAGGGCCCTGGCCCGCAACCCAGGCACATTCTCCGACTGGGAATTGAACCAGCAACACTTTGGCTCACAGGCCAGCACTCAATCCACTGAGCCACACCAGCCAGGGCCATTGGTTGCTTCTTATATGTACCCTGACCAGGAATCAAACTTGCAGCCTTGACACATCTTATTCTTTTTTATTTATCCATATTTTCTACTTTTGTTTTACAACTAATAATATTTAAGTAATTAAAATGTTATGTCCTGGCTGGTGTGGCTCAGTGAATTGAGCGCTGACTGCGAACCAATGGGTCGTCAGTTCGATTCCCAGTCAGAGCACTTGCCTGGGTTGCAGGCCAGGTCCCCAGTAGGGGGTATGTGAGAGGCAACCACACACAGATATTTCTCTGCCTCTCTTTTTCCCTCCCTTCCCTCTGTATAAAAATAAATACATAAAACCTCTAAAATAAAATTTTTTTTAAGGTTTGGTGGAGTCCCATGGATCTTTCACACAAACCTGTGACTTTATGACTTGCAGAAATCTACTCTGCATACAGTGTCCTCCCATGAAGTCAGTTCTGAGGAGAAAAGTAAAATAAAACTTAGTGAAAAATTATCATAAGACCTTTAAAATATTGCAGTTTGGATTTGAGTTCAAACTGCAGAGGGAGCTGAATAATTTTTTATGGGGGGCAGCAATTTTTTTTTGTTTTAATTACCTATTATTTTTAGAGAGGGAGAGAAACATCAATGTGTGGTTGCCTGTCACACACTCCCTACTGGGGACCTGGCCTGCAATCCAGGCAAGTGCCCTGACTGGAAATCGCACCAGGGACCTTTTGGTTTGCAGGCCAGTGCTCAGTCCACTGAGCCACAACAGCCAGGGCTGTTTGTTAACTGAAATAAGAAGCAAGTATTTGTTAGCTTTGAATTGACTCAACATTCACATTTGTGCAAAATCTTGGCTGTGACTAGAGGGAGCTTGTATATGTCTGGTCAAGAGTACAATTGGAGTACTAAAATTTGAATCAATAAGTACCATCTAATTGAAAATGAAGAACCAAATTCTCGATTTCAGACTGTGTAGGGCCAAGATCTGTCATTGTCTGCCAGGCCTACTCTATGGAGACTTTAAGAGAGGTACATTGTGTTTGAAAAACAAAGCCTTTCATAAAGAACCCTATTTACTGACCCTGGCCTGGGGCATGTAAAGGCACCTGACTTATTTGATATAGACACTGGGAGAGCTGAGGGGCAAAGTTCAGTAAAGTGAGACGGGCTTTGAAAAAGTCTACTTGTGAGGAAGTGCAATCATGGTGTAGGAAGAATAATATTCACAGAGAAAAAGTAAAGATAACAGAACTTTGAAAAAGAGAGAATGAAAAAGAATACCACTGCAGTTTTTTATCTTCTCATTGTTTATATCCTTACTATCTTTCAAGCATTATTGTCTTTTTAAGTGTGTGTCCATTAAAAATACTCTAATGATATCCTAACCTTTCCTTACAATATTCATGCAAATGTCAAAACAGTTGCATTAAAATATGTACATCATAGACCCTGTTTTGTGTGGCTCAGTGGGTTGGGAATCATCCCGCTAACTGAAAGGTGGCTGGTTCAATTCGTGGTCAGGGCTTATACTTGTGTTGTGGGCCAGGTCCCTGGCTGCGGACATGCAAGAGGCAACTCATCAACGTTCCTCTCTCACATCATTGTTTCTCTCCCTTTCTTTCTCCCTCCCTTCCCCCCTCTCTAAAAATGAATAAAATATTTTAAAAATTACATCATAGCTTTAGAATTTCCCAGAGAGGAGAGCTAGGTTTGCCATGGACATACCCATGAAAAACACCTTGTCTCTACAGTGGAAAGGGGTCAGAAGATCAGTGAGCAGATTGTCATTGGCACCCCCGGAACTGTTCTGGACTGGTGCGCCAAGCTCAAGTTCATTGACCCCAAGAAGATCAAGGTGTTTGTTCTGGATGAGGCTGACGTGATGATAGCTACTCAGGGCCATCAAGATCAGAGCATCCGCATCCAAAGGTAGGATTCTGGATCCAGGAGGAACTTCTCAGCCTCCTGATCCACAAGTAAAAGTCTTCCTCTTTGTGCCTTCTCCTGTGATACCAGCCCCTCTTCTGTCTCCTGCTGGGTTCTTTGCTTCAGAAGCTTCAGAAGCATGTGCTTGAGGGGCCATGTCAGCACTGCCCATTCTCCCAGCCTGGCCTGAGGGAAGGGACTTAGGGAATCCAACAGCACCTCGTACCTGCCCCACGTCTGCTCCCACCTCTTCCCCGCAGTGCTTCTCCACCGCTGCCATCTTCCTGGGGAGGTAGCCCAACCAAGCCTGGGAAGGCCATGCTTGTGTTGGCTCCAGTGATCAACTCAGGGTCATGCCAGATACCCGGGCCTTGCCTTGCAGGATGCTGCCCAGGAACTGCCAGATGCTGCTTTTCTCTGCCACCTTCGAAGACTCTGTATGGAAATTTGCCCAGAAAGTGGTCCCAGACCCCAACATCATCAAACTGAAGCGTGAGGAGGAGACACTGGACACCATCAAGCAGTACTACGTGCTGTGCAATAACAGAGATGAGAAGTTCCAGGCCTTGTGTAACCTGTACGGGGCCATCACCATTGCTCAAGCCATGATCTTCTGCCATGTGAGTAGCAGCCAGAGGAGCAGCGGGGGGCAGGCCTGCCTGGGGAGGGGCTCCCTGGGGAAGGTGTTGACCAGCCCGTGTCTCTCAGCCAGCTGCACCTGAGTGTGGTGGGGGACCAGGCTCCCTCTGTGGGACTACAAATGAAGTGAATCACTTCCTCCTGCCCCAGGGCATAGTCTCATGCTATGAGGAATTACAAGGGGAAGATTGAAAATCTGAACCTTCTTTGATCCTACTTCTTAGAGATAACTTGGGAAAAATTGCCAAATAAAATCCAGTGAAATAGCCCTAGCTGGTCTGTCTCAGTGGAGTGAGCTTGGCCGAAAGGTCAGTGATTCAATTCTCTGTCAGGGTTCATGCTTGGGTTGCAGGCCAGGTCCCCAGTTGGGGGCATGTGAGAGGCAACTGATTGTTTCTCTCCCTTTCTTTCTCCCTCCCTTCCCCTCTCTCTAAAAATAAGTAAAAAAATTTTTTAAACTGTTATCTGCCCTGGCTGGTGTGGCTCAGTGGATTGAGCACTGACTTGCAAACCAAAAGGTCAACGATTAGATTCCCAGTCAGGGCACATGTCTGGGTTGCAGGCCAGGTCCTCAGTAGGGGGTGTGTGAGAGGCAACCACACATTGATGTTTCTCTCCCTTCCTCCTTCCCTTCCCCTTTCTAAAAATAAATAAAATCTTTTAAAAAATGATTCTCTTACAGTCAGCATATAGTTGGATCTTACTTTAAAAAAAAACCAGTGAAATAGTTTTAAAACAGAGAATATAGACATTTGAGGTGTGAAAACTTTTGGTTGAAACCACACTTTCCCTAGATGAACACTAAGATCATTTAAGTAATTCATCCAAAAACAATTACATGGCTAAAAGTTCTATTTGAAAAATTTAAGACTAACCTGCTGGCTGAATGCAGCAGGGCCTTCATGTATATGAATGGGGAAAAGCCACTTTTCTGTGGGTGCTTTCATTTTTTTTTTTTTTTACAGATATCTTCATTTAAAATAATTCTTTTTTACTCCAGACCCGCAAAACAGCCAGTTGGCTGGCAGCAGAGCTCTCCAAAGAAGGCCACCAGGTGGCCCTGCTGAGCGGCGAAATGATGGTGGAGCAGAGGGCTGCGGTGATCGAGCGCTTCCGAGAGGGCAAAGAGAAGGTGCTGGTGACCACCAACGTGTGTGCCCGCGGTGAGCAGAGACCTCGTCCTGGTCTGCCGCACTCAGGGCAGCAAGGGAAATCCTCATACGTGAAAATCTCAGGTGGTCTGGAAGAGATCAGGCGGGGCTGGTGGTGACTTTTTTCTAGGAGAGCCTGGGTGCTCTCAGCAGAGGAGAACTTGCCCAGGATCCTGACTGGGAGGAAGGAAAGTGCAGGCATCTGACTGGTTTAGCACAGCACCTGCTCCTCCTGGGGCAGCCACTGAGGTTTTAGCTGCATCTCTAGACACTGCGTCCAGCAGAAGCTCTCCCACTGACTTCGTGATCTTGTTAGCACCTGCCAGAGCTCTGTGGTTTACCTCTGGGCTCTGCTGCGTGCCCCTGCCCCTGGGTGCCAGAGCCAGCCCACCCAGACTCCTTCACCCAGCGCTGGTGTGTGTGGCCCGACTGTGGGCGAGCAGCAGGGATTTGATCTCTGCTGCCCTCATTGTTTCCCACCTCTCCTTGGTGCAGGCATCGACGTTGAGCAGGTGTCGGTCGTCATCAACTTCGACCTTCCAGTGGACAAGGACGGGAACCCGGACAACGAGACCTACCTGCACCGGATCGGGCGCACTGGCCGCTTCGGCAAGAGGGGCCTGGCCGTGAACATGGTGGACAGCAAGCACAGCATGAACATCCTCAACAGAATCCAGGAGCATTTTAGTGAGTCCCTGGGAGTGTCCTCTGCCAGGGCCCTCTCTTTAGAGGGGCGCATGCAAGGACATGGGTAGGGTGGGTTTTCCCGTGACCCCCAAAGAAGCTTTGCCCCTATCCACATTCCCTGCCTTCGCTGGAGTACAGACGTTCTCAGGGAGCACACCTGGGGAGTTTAGCATCAGGGACTGGAATGACAGCACCGCCCACCCCCCCCCACCCCCCCGGCCAGGCTGAGGGGCCTCGGGCTCTGTTGCTGTGAGTACCTGTTCCTCAGGTACCAGAAGCCTTTGGGGTCAAAGGAAGGATGGTTGCGGCCAGAGGCAGGGCTCACTCCTGGCCAGGGTGGAAACCTGTGTGTTTCTCTCTCTGCTGGCTGCCTCCCCTTAGGTGTGTGTCTCCACAGTAAGCCCTTGTTGATCTCTCTTTGAATCTTTTTCTTTTTCCTCAGACAAGAAAATAGAAAGATTGGACACGGATGATTTGGACGAGATTGAGAAAATAGCCAACTGAGAAGCCCCACCAGTCCCTGGTGCCCACCCTTGGCACCCCCACTACATGGCAGACTAGTGCTTTCACGTAGAGGCCTCAACCGTCACCATGAAGATGAAGGCACACGTAGAGAGAAACTACCTACCTCATTTTAAATTACGTTTGGACTCAACAGAAATTGTGCAAATGATGGGGGAAGGTAGAAACAATTGTTGACACAACTTTTGAAGATTAGGCGTGAATACACAGAAATTTACCTTTTGGAAATTCCGTCTTTTTTTTTTTTTTTTTTGGCCAGTGTTTTCCCCACTGTTACACTAATCTAGATCCTGTGGCTAATCACTTGCTCAGGAGCTATCTGGCTGTCCCTGCCTGTCCTTGGGCCCTAGTGGAAGTGACAGAATACAGGTGAAGAGGGGGCACAGAGAGGCCCAAGTAGGATAGGTGTGTAAGCCACGCACCATGTTTGGAGTAAGGTGTGAGGCGGCAGAGGAGACCTATGAGCTGCTGCTTTGGGTTCTGAGCGTTGTTAGCGCACTCTGTCCTGATGCCCACAGCAGGAAGGGATTTGCTAAGCATGGACCAAATGCCAAACTGGAATCTTCAGTGTACGCAAGCCTGTGTCGCAGGACCATGTCCCACACAAGCAGCCTGTGGGGGTCCCTTGCTTGTGGATGACCAAGTCCTGAGAAGTCATTGTGGAGAATTAGTGCTGGCTCTAGCCTACCATAAAACCTGGTTTTGCAGGCACTCGCTCATATTTTTTACATCCCTGCCATCACCTTAACCCCTTAGTAGCCCCAGGCAAATAAAAGGTGATCTGAGGTTTGGATCATCAGTGAAAACTAGTTTCAAGTCACGAAGGGCCAGCCTCAAGGCAGCCTCAGAAGTAATCTCAGTAGTCACAAATGCTTGCTTTGTTTTCAGATCCCAGAAGGCAAGTGTTTTAAGAGCTGGGGAATGAGTTCCAATATTTGGCATTTTGGTTGTAAAGGGATACTGAACATTTGTGTTTACTGCTTGGAATACAGGTGCAACTAAGTGGACTACAGCCATTCATCTGTGCAAGGCAAGAGTAACTGCCAAGACATTTACTCTATCCTTCCTTACTTGGCATCTTTGTGCAGAGTAGTTAGAGCAAATAATAGTAATGGACATTCCTGGACAAGACTAGTGGTGTCCACGATGTGACAGTGCAAAGACAAAACTGAGGTGCAAAAACAATATGCAACGCCAGCCAAAAGGAGTCCTGTTCTTAGACTTTGACACAGAATGGCCACTTCACCTAGGACCAGTTTTGGAAGAGGGCTAGCTCTGTCTCCTGGGGAAGGAAGAAGCCACTATCAGCTTCCAGGTGGTTACCTTAATCTAACATTACAGACACTGCAGAGAAACTGACACTCTGCCAGTCCTCCACATTCCTCCACTGGGCACTAGAGTCTTCTCTAGTGCTTCTGGCCAACTCGGACCAACTTTGGGAGTCTTATAAGAGAAGAAATTTAACTGCCCCACTCTCAAAGTCCTATGGACCAACCCTGACATAAAGAGAAACGAAGGCAATAATTAAAGGACTGTAAACTCACAAGGCTGCAGGCCAAGCATACCCCCACCTCACAACACGTATAACCCATCTACTGAGTAGCCCTAAAGCTGAGCAGGAAAATGGGAAGGCAAGTGCCCCAGTCTCCTCAATAGTAGGAGTAGATGGGCATCTGGTAGAAATCTATCTAGATCACTGGTTCTTAATGTGGGGGCTTGGACCCCTTAGAATTCACTGGGTGGGTTTTGTGGAGTCTGAAGTATATGCAGTACTTTGAATTTAAATGCATCTTCCTGGAGAGAAACTCCCAAAGGAGTGTGTGTGTTTTAAAAAGGTAAGAGTCACTGTCATGCATGGCTCTGGAACGTGTTCCCAGTGTCACTGCAGTCCCTGTTCCTTCGCAGACCGTGTTCTTTGCCTCCAGTGTTTGGCCCCCAGGGCTCAATGGACCTCAACTGCTTCTGTGACCATGTCCAATTCTGAGACATTGGTGACATAAAATGTATTGAGCCCTTGGTGAACTTCAGGTCACAGGGTTTCTTCTACTGTTTTTAGTAAGTTCCTCTATATGCAATGATAAACTGTGCCCTAGAACACAGAATTCACTTGGGAAAAGGAGATTTCGGTCCAAAGAAAGATTCTGGATATGTTCATTATCCATACACATAAACAATGGATTTTATTGGGGTTTTTGAGTGTTCATTGGCTGTATGCATGATAACTAATCAACTGTTGATGTATCCTTTAATAACACTAACAATAGTGACCTATTCATGTTACTAAGATATCACTGACTATAAGAAGGAAACAGCATGTTTTGGTTGCTGATATTAGTAATCATATTACTAATATGATTACTACATATTACTACATAATATGAAGACTCACATATTATTCCATAAGCTAGTTATCACCTTATATTACTGTTCCATTTCAAAGTTGACACTTGACATGAGTAGGTGGGATGGCTGCACAGTCCAAGGGCCCTAGTCAGTTGCCAGAGGGGTGTTTACATTTCTGTTTTCCTGTGGGTAAATCAGAGGGTGCAATAGCTAACTACCGTTAGCCATAGTACCGTATTTTGCCATGTATAATGTGCACTTTTTTGCCCAAATTTTGAGGGAAAAATGATGCACGTTTTCCATGGGTAAGACTATATAAATGTTTTAATCTATAAAAATAGATATCTATATAAATGTTTTTAATTGTTTTATTTATACTATACTTATGCATTAAAAGTAACTCTAGAAAACAATAATGATATCTGTATATTAAAAAATAAATAAAATTTCTTTATAATACAAAAAACAAGTATCTAAATATAAACAAATAAATAATTAAAAGTAAACTGAAAGGTTTTTTTCTTGAAAGTTTGGGCCAAAAACATGGGTGCATGTTATACATGGTAAAATACGGTACTTTTAGTCCTTACATTCTACTTTTCTAGTCCACCTAGGAATAAAAATAGGATTCAGAAAGGTATTCTACCTTTGTTGTCCACATCTCATTTATTATGTAACTTGAAGGCCATTTCATTCAAAGTGCCATTGATATTTAGAAGGTAAAGATTTCTGAGGTTAGAGAAGATTCATAAAGGAGTGGAGTTTGTTATCAAAGAAAAGTGGGATTTCAAGTGACAAGAAGAGTGCTTCAGGTAGACTGACCCTATCAAGACTTCACCAGGACACACACAGTATACCGGAAGGGTGGTAAGGGGAGCAGCCTAGCCACGTGGGCAGAGAAAAGACTCATTAGGTAGAAAATGGAGATATAATTGAACTGGATTTATTAGTAAATTATCACAGATTCTTAGAAGACAGAAAATAATTAAAGCATTTTTGGGAGTGTGGGGTAGGAAAATTGGTCTAGCAGACGTCTACAGGATATACTGGAGCTGGAAAGGTTGGTGTCCAAGAAACCAGTGAGAAGATTATTCCATCAGTCCCATCACACAGCAAGTGCCAGGATGTCACTGGTTGTATTGAGAATGCAGAAGAAATGGACTAGAAGGATATTACAGAGGAAGAATGGCAGACTTCTAAAAAAAATCTATTGTTATTCCAAAGAGGATCTGTGACTCAAAGTTACATGTACTATACAAAATAATTCTGAGGAGAAACCCAAAGGGAAAATTTGGAAAGAACAGCCTGTATGATGTGTAGGAGACTCATCCAGCAAGAGGGACTGGCCCCTCTCCTTCATCAACACCATCCAAGTTGTAGATTTCAGGGACCCTCTTCAGTTTCTCCTGGTCCCAGATAGAGATACCAGGTTCTTAGGAACCCCCTGCAGTTTTACCTGACTTTGCTTTTCTGATAGAGAATAAGTGTTCCTTATTCTGTTGATGGACTCGGATTGCAGTGTCTTCCAAAAAAAAACGATATAATGAAGGATAGGGAACCTGAGGGGCTTATGCTAGAAGACTCCAGTACCCTAACTCTGAATCTGGGATAGGGCTTCCCCAGATTAGCTTCAAACACCTAGTAGGAGCCCTGGCAGGCTAGCTCACAGCATTGTCCCAAAGTTGTGGGTTTGATCCCTGGTCAGGGCACATAACAAGAAACAACTAGCCCTGGCTGGTGTGGCTTAGTGAATTGAGCACTGGCCTGCAAACCAAAGGGTTGATGGTTGGATTCCCAGTCAGAGCATATGCCTTGGGTTTTGGGCCAGGTTCCCAGTAGGGGGTGTGTGAGAGGCCACCACACATTGATGTTTCCTTACTTCCCCTCTCAAAAATAAATAAATAAATAAATAAATAAATAAAAGCTTTAAGGTTTTTTTTAAAGAAATAAAAGCTTTAAAAAATTTTTTTAAAGAAACCACCAACGAATACATAAGGGAACAACAAAGCAATGTTTGTTTCTCTCAAATCAATTTTTAAAAAATTATTTAAAAAGACATCTAGTGGGAAGTGAGAGGTGGTGGGGATCTGCTTGGAGGCTGTTTGTTACCTTCCTACCTTATGCCCTCCAGCCCCTGTTGTTGGATGCTTCTGCCTTGGCTTAGAAACTTCTGATACTAGTATTCAGCAGGGGCTGAAGCAAGAGGATTCTCCATAGTAGGACTAATCACATAGTAGTTCTAAAAGTAAAATGGGGTATAGGAGTAGGTGAAGGAAGGAATATTAAACTAAGCCTAACAGTGGTGGCTGTTTGGCATGTCAGCTGCCCAGATGAGATACCTACAGCCCCTGCTTTATCAATATCTAATGGGCAGAGGTGGTTCGGTGGCAGACCTTTTTTTAGCCTTATTGCCCAGCACTACAGCCATTTCCTGTTCCCAGAGGAAATGGGTGGGGGTAGGGATGTTTAGATGGAACTCTCCTGAAAGTACTAGTACACATTTTTCAAGTGTTTACAACTCTTCTGTAACATCCTCATCCATATGCTTCCAGTCCTTGGAATTCCCCAGTTGAAGAAAAGCCAAGCAGTCAGGTTCTATCCCTGAAAGCAAACGTCTCCAAACTTAGACTTGAGAGGACATGAGTTAGCCCCTGGTCAGGTTGTGTGGCTGTGTGCGAGGTGTATTGTTATCTATCTTGTGCTCCTCTCGGATGGCGACACCTTCTAAATGTGCACAGAAGTCGTCCTAATGAACCAGTGCCATTTGAGTCCAGGTGTAGCAACAACACAGCTTCCAGTATTTCAGGACCGCTTTGTTATCTCTGGAGCAAGCAAGGCTGTGTTAGAGGGACAAGTTAAATACCGTTCCATTTATCTGATTTCAT